TTTGGTGATCGTACCAGAAAGGTATGAATCATCTATTGCTTCTTTGGAAAATACAAAGTATATTTCTAAAATCACTCTTGTTGAAGTGATACATGCCTTCTAGGCCCAAGAGTAACAAAGATTGATGAGAGAAGATTATACTAATAAAGGTTTTCTTCTAGCCAAGAGCCAACCAACAAAAAACTACAAAAAGAATCATCCAGCCAACAGTGAAAGCAGTGCAAATAATTACAATAAAGGAAAGAGTGAAAAGAAAAATTACCCTCCTTGTCAACATTGTGGCAAAATGGGTCACCCTCCATTCAAATGTTGGAGGAGACCAGATGGAAAATGCATAAAGTGTAATCAAATGGGACATGAAGTAGTCATATGCATGAGCAAAAACCAATCGCAAGAGGAAGAAGCTAAAGTTGTTGATAAGGAGGAGGAGGAAGATCAATTATTTGTGGCCACTTGTTTTGCAAGCAGTGAAGAAAGTGAAAGTTGGCTAACTGATAGCGGTTGTACAAGCCATATGACCTATGATAAGAAGCTTTTCAAAGATTTAAAGCCAACCAACATCACCAAAGTCAAAATAGTCAATGATGATTATATTTCAGTCAAAGGAAAGGAAACTATTGCAATAACAAGTTGCTCAAGTACAAAGTTAATTTCTGATGTCCTTTTTTTACCAAAATTTCAACAAAACATGTTGAGTGTTGGCCAATTGATTGAAAGAGGCTTTAAATTCACTTGTGAAGACAATTTTTGTTTGATTACAGACACAACTAGTCAAGAAATTTTCAAAATCGAAATGAAAGGAAATTTTTTTGCTCTAAATCCATTGAAGGAAGAACAAGCTGCCTTTCCTGTCATGGAGAACATCACAGAAGTTTGGCACAAGAGGCTTTGGCATTATCATCTCCAAAGGGCTGCTGGAAATGCAGTCTAAGAAAATGGTAGTTGATTTTCCAGAACTTGATGATCAAATACCAACATGCAAGACATGTGAATTTGGAAAGAAAAAAAGAAATTCATTACCAAAGTCAACATGGAGAGCCACTCACAAATTGCAGCTCATCCACACAAATGTTTTAAGACCTCACAAAACACCTTCCTCAGAAGGTAGTCTCTATTTTCTTACCTTTATTGATGACTTCACCTTGAATGTGTTGTATTTTTTTCTTGAAGTTTAAATGAGAAGTAGCTCAAGTTTTTTGGAAGTTTAAGACAAGAGTTGAGAATGAAAGCAGATACAAAATTCAAATTGTAAGATCTGATAATGGGAAGGAGTATACTTAAGCAAAATTTAACGGGTTTTGTGAAGATTCAAGCATAGAGCATCAACTTACATCCCCTTACACACCTCAACAAAATGGAGTTAGTGAGCGGAGAAATGGATACATCATGGAGATGTCAAGATGCATGTTGCATGAGAAGAATTTGCCAAAAAAGTTTTGAGTAGAGGCAACAAATACAACTGTGTTTCTTCAAAACAGGCTTCCAACAAAGGCAATGAGATAAATGACACCATTTGAGGCATGGTATGGTTATAAACCATCTCTAAAATTTCTTAAAGTATTTGGTTGTTTGTGTTTCACTCATGTTCCATATAGTAAGCGTGACAAGCTTGATAGGAGAGCTTCACCAGGCATTTTTATACGCTACAGTTCTGTTAGTAAAGCCTATAAAATTTTCCAGCCACAAACTGGAAATATTATTGTCAGCAAGGATGTTCACTTCATGGAGGAAGAAGAGTTGAACTTGGATGATGCATAAAAGAAGGGTCAGAACATGGAAGAACTAAAACTCAAATTTTCTAGTTCAAGCATTGAAAAGAAGAAGATGACTGGCAGAATCAAACAGTGGATGATGTTCCTGTGAGAGGAACAAAGTTATTTTCAGATTTTTATGAAAGGTGCAATGTTGCCTTATGTGAACCTACTGACTATGCAGAAGCAAAAAAGGATCAAAGGTGGATAGATGCAATGGAGGAGGAGTTGTCAATGATAGAGAAAAACAAAACTTGGATCCTAGTGGATAGGCCTCAAGATAGGAAGGTAATTGGAGTCAAGTGGGTATTTAAAACCAAACTTAATGCTGATGGCTCAATCAACAAACACAAAGCTATGCTGGTGGTTAAAGGATATGCTCAAATCTTTGGTGTTGATTATTCTGAAATTTTTGCTGCTGTTGCTAGATTGGACACAATCAAGTTACTCCTTGCAAAAGCTGCACAAAAGAGCTGGAAAGTGTTCCAGTTGTATGTAAAATCAGCCTTCTTAAATGGTATCTTACAGGAAGAAATTTATGTTGAGCAACCCTAAGGATTTGTGAAGGAAAGTGAGGGAGATAAAGTCTATCTTCTCAAGAAAGCCCTTTATGGTATAGCAAAATTGATGAATATTTGCTGAATTTTAGATTTGATAAAAGTCTATTAGAAACAACCTTGTATGTTAAGCACAATGACATTGACATTCTTATTGTTTCATTGTATGTTGATGACCTATTAGTTACAGAAAACTATACAGAGCATATTCAAAACTTTAAACAGGAGATGAAGGTGTTTGAAATGACAGATCTTGGAGTTATGTCCTACTTTATTGGCATCACTAGTACAAAACGAGGATTTTAACGCGGCTAATACGCTTTGGTTTCCAGAAAACCAAAGCATAAAAAAATGAGGTGACATTTTTGTAATTTCAATAAACTTATAGGCCTCGGTTCAAGGAGAACCGAGGCATAATCGGATATTACCTCGGTTGTTTCATAACCGCATAAAGTCCTATAACTTTCTGTAGAATAAAGTCGTTTATGTCATATTGCTTCAGTTTTTTCAGAACCGAATCAGTCCAACGGCTAAAGCTTGATTGTATTCATCCTGTTTCTGTAACGCCCCGACAACTTACAGGGAATATTGACTGCCCCCACACATCAACACGAGGCTTTCCAATGTGTTTTGTCCTCACTCGCACACTTTCTGGGAAAACATTAATGGTTTCTAATATTTCTTTTTTATAGGAAGACTTAACAGCTTTTGTTTTAGGACTGGACTTTTGAGTTTGAGAGAAAGCAAAACAGACCTGAAAGATATGACAGGAATGTTGCGGAAAATGTCTTGAAGGCTATTTCAAAGATTGATAAAATCAGAGTCACCAAGGAGGAAAGACGTGATAAGAATAGGTCTTTGAAAGGCAAAAATGAAAAACTGGTGAAGGAGGCAGTGAGAGAGTTGGAGCAGGGCATATTTTTAGTCAAAGAGTGCAATGTTACACTTCTGCAGATTTTATTTCAGACTTTAATGCAATGCACATTTTAATTTTTGTTTTGTTTTGTTTTGTTCTTCTATTTAAATTTCCATATTCTTGTTATTTCCTATGTTTTTTCTGGGTTCTATTGATTTTTTTGGATTTTTAGTAGTTCTAATTTTAGAATTTTTTTCTTTAATATTTTTGCCTAATATTACTTTGATTCTTATGTGCTTTAAATTTTTGATCTTGCTCGGTTCTTCTATTTTTGGTTAATTGGTTCATGTCTTTACTTTCCTGATTCTTGGAGGAATTTAGTCTTCTTGAAGCATGATTTCTTCTTTTAATTCACCAATTAGGAAGAAATAGCGTTAAGTTTGTTTTGCATTAAGTTTACTTTCACTGCACTTTTCTTTAGAGTTTAATGATCATGTTTGTATTATGATTAACTAATTTTTTTTGTCGTCAATTGCAAGTCTGTTCCAACTAAGAGACCCTCTCAAATTAATTTCAATACCAAAGTCTTCAATCCAAGGTGCAGAGCCTGTAATCTCTCGAGACTTGTGGCCACGCAAAGCATAAAAGAACTCATATGAGAATAAAAAATATCCTCTATTGCCTCGGTTCAACTCTAAACCGAGGCATAAANTTCAAAACCGAGGCATAAAACCCTACAAATTCCATTTTTCAAAATTTTTTCAAACATTTGGACATCGGTTAATCAGAAAACCGAGTCAATATCCCTTGATATTTTTACCCTAGCGCACTATTCTTCTTCTTCTCGCACAAAAGCGTTTTTCTCTCCCATCTCCCATGTGTCTTCTTCTCGAGCTGTCTGCTCCGAGTGCGGCCTCGTCCCCGACCACTCCACCGGCGACATCGTCTACTTCGAGTGCGGCCTCGTCCTCAAGTCCCACTCCATCGACGAGACCTCCGAGGGGCGTGCCTTCGCCAACAAGTCCGACGACAACGACCCCAACCGTGTCGGCGGTCCCTTTAACCCTCTTCTCATGGATGGCGACTTGTCTACTGTCATCGCCAAGCCCAACGGTTACGGTGGCAAGTTCTTCTCCTCCTCCCTTGAATGCTGGCAGAATCGTGGTTCCAACCCCGACCACGCTCTCATCCATGCTTTCACGTCCTTCTGAAATTGATTTTTATGGTTGTTTATTTGCCGGTTTGTTTTGTTCTTGTGGCTTAACCTTTAAAATCGCCCCTTTAACAAAGTTTGAGCGATGGATTGTNAGAAATTTCAAATGGAAAAATGTAAGGTAGTAAGCACTCCAATTTATCAAAAGGAGAAGCTGCACAAAGAAGATGGTGCTAACAAAGTTGATGAAGGATATTTCAGAAGCTTGATTGACTGATAAGAAAACCTTGAACTTTGTGCAAATAAAAAATGTCCAATTGCAAACATAAAGCAATGACAATGAAAAAGGTAAAACCAGGACACTCAATCTTGGATTTTCATGATATCTTCTTTTGGGAGTCAAAGAGAAAGGCACAAAGATGTAGGTAAAGAACGCCACCGCTAGGCGGGCCTAAATCATAGGTCAATACAAAAACGTGAATGGGACCACCAGATGCATCTATTAATACAGACTAATATCCTGCTTTATTATTTCGTAAAATATAAAAAAAAAACCCTTTTACTGCCTCAGTTCAACTCCAAACCGAGGCATAAGACCCCTCTACTGCCTCGGTTTACAACCAAGGCAAAAAGTGCGGATAGGCGAAAATAACCGCTGTCGTTTCCCTTTACTGTACTCGTGCATGGATATCAAGAAAGGGCAAGGTGAATTTTTCATATGTCAGAAAAAGTATGCAAAGGAAATACTAAAGAAATTTCAAATGGAAAAATGCAAGGTAGTAAGCACTCCAATTTATCAAAAGGAGAAGTTGCACAAAGAAGATGGTGCTAACAAAGTTGATGAAGGATATTTCAGAAGCTTGATTGGTTGTTTGATGTACCCCCTGACAATTAGGCCTGATATTTTAAATGCTATAAGTATTTTGTCTCGATTCATGCATTGTGCAAGTGAATTGCATCTCAAGGCTGCCAAAAGAGTGATTTGGTATGTGAAGGGTACAAGTGATTTTGGTGTTAAGTTCACATGGAGCAAAGAATTTAAGCTTACAAGTTTCTCTGATAGTGACTGGAGAGGTTCTATGGATGATATGAAAAGTACTTCAGGCTACTATTTTACTCTTGGATCAAGTGTTTTCCCTTGGAGCTCAAAGAATTAAGAAATTGTGGCTCAACCCACTCCAGAAGCTGAGTTTATTGCAGCAATAGCTGCAATCAATCAAGCTTGATGATTAAGAAAATTTTTAATGGATTTAAGTCTAGAGAAAAAAGAAAGTACCAAGATTTTTGTTGACAACAAAGCTGCTATCGCTATTTCCCATAATCCTGTATTTCATGGGAAAACTAAGCATTTCAACATCAAGTTGTTTTTTTAAGAGAAGTGCAAAAAAATAATTTGTGACTTTGATTTATTGCAAGTCTAAAAATCAACTTGCAGATTTATTTACAAAACCACTTTCAATCAGCAGGTTCGAGCTTCTAAGGAAAAGAAATTGGTTTTTGCAGCTCCTAAAGAAAGGATGAGTGTTAGAAAATTGCTTTAGGACTGAAACATGTCTACCTTTTAATTTTGCTTTATTTTTTTTTATTTTCCTAGTTTTAAGGAATCAGTTTAGGTTTGTTATTTCATAGTCATGCATTTTATTTAATGGCTTAATTCTAAAAACACATTAGTGGGTAGTTATTTTTAAATTTTATAAATTGTAATGTTTTTTATTCAATAAAATAAGTTTTCATTGTTCTCCTTCCATATATTCTCCTTCAATATACTTTTCCATTCGTTTATGTTCTTTTTGTTCCCTGTTAAAAAACTTTGCTTTCTTATAAACATCAATTGTTGCTTACATAGACTATTGTGTTGAAATATTATATGTTTTAACAATTGATTATTATTTTAAAATGTTGTTGATCCGTGGTGACAACACTGTTTTATGCTATGTTTCCTTGTCTTAAGCGATAAAGAAAACACAGTCAACTGCAATGGATATGCTAAAAAATATTTCAATTGATCATGAAAAACTCAAATTGCAACTAGAATCTCAGAAAAATGAGCTTGAACTGAGGAAAATCGAATTAGAAAACCGTGAGGCACATAATGAAAGTGAAAGAAATAGGCTGGAAGAAGAAATCAGGGAGGTATAGTTTTTTTTTTCTTATTTTGCTACATCTCTTGATATATTATACTATGATGAAATTCATGTGAAATTAAGATTGAAGAAATAATATTTTTGTTTTTGGTAGATTGATTTTTCTGGATGTTTAGATTTTTCAGAGCTTTCAAGAAGGACTTAGTTACCATGGTCAATCATTTTTCCGATTTTACTTATTGGGTTTAGTGATTGAAAATTGATAGGTTGGAAAATTGTTTTCAAATGGAATGGGTTTTCTGTTTTTCCATTAATTTGTTTATTTCCCATTAATGATTTTCCTCAAGGACTGTGTAAATAATTTTTTTTAACATAAACTGTGTTTTTTCTGTGCTTTCGAAATCATCTAAGATAATATTGAACTTAAGAAGCTTGTGGAAGACTTTGTTTAACACTGCCTGCCGGCTTTTATTGGATTTGCAGAATGCCATGAAAAATAGCTCTCGTCATATGGCTACTCTGGAGCACAAAAAAGCTGATGAAAATGTTATGAAATTGGCAGAAGATCAGAGGGTGTGTTAACTATTAGCTTTGTTAATAACCTAAAATATATGTGTGTGTCAGCACCATGGGATAGTATTGATGCCATTTAAATACCTATTTTTATTCAGAGACAAAAAGAACAGCTCCATGCTAAAATCTTTTACCTTCAAAAGCAACTTGATATGAAACAAGAACTGGAGTTGGAGATTCAGCGATTAACGGGCTCATTAAATGTGTTGAAGTACATGGAAAATGATGATGATGGTGCAGAGGTACTGAAGAAGGTAGATTCTTTGCAAAAGGAATTAGGTCACTTGAAGATTTAGGTGAGTTGAAACAAAATGTCTAGACGATGCAAGAGTTTGAGAGAAAAGTGATAGTCCTAAGTAATAATTCTGGTTGTTTTTCTCTTCATGCACTCCTCTTTGTATAAATATATTGTAGTGAAATTTTGCACTCGCACACTATAAATATACTGCAGTGAAATTTTGCACTCACATACTGCACTAAAATTCTCTAATATATATATTATGTGAGAAACTGAGGAGGTTTTCTTTCGTTCACAGAACTGGCTTTAAATAGCCTTATAAATGGGCAAAGGTTCGTATGTTAATATAAAATAGGTTTAATACCTCTTTTGGTCCCTCGAAAGGGGGCAAAAGTTCAATGTGGTCCTACCTTTTTTTAGAAGTTCAATGTGGTCCCAACTTTTGTAAAAAGTGTGCAATCAAGTCCTTTTTGGAAACGGCGTTGAGTTTTTAACGGAGCAGCTGACAGTGTGGACTTAAGTTAGCTACGTGGCTGTGTGTGGGTAATACGTGGTTGTGTGAGGGTGATACGTGGCTGTGAGAGGATAAACGTGTGTATATTACTGAAGTTAATAAATCAGAGGTTAGGGTTTGAGTTGCAGAGAAATTGGTATTTGCGGTTTCTAATTTGCATTACGAAGTGGCATTGTCCTTTGCAATGCTCTTAACAAAATTGAAGTCCCCTGCGATAGTGTTATCATTCCTGATGGGGCACCTCTATCTACTTACCAATACTTCGAAAATGTAAGGAATTTTCTGGTAACTATGGAAGAAATGGGGCTTCCCACCTTTGAAGTGTCTGATATAGAACAGGTGCGCTAAGAAAGTTCATTACCTTTCATTACTTTAATAGACTCGAATCAGGCAATGCTGCATTACTATAATGCAATTGTATTCAACTTTAACATTTTGTTCTTCCATGTACAGGGAGGAAAATCTTCGAGGATAGTGAATTGTGTTTTAGCACTTAAGTCTTACAGTGAATGGAAACAGGGAGGAAAAAATGGGTCATGGAAATATGGTGGGAATCCAAAGCCACCTTTATGTGTACCCACTAGAACACCCTGTAACAGTTAGAAAGGGAAAAATCATTAAATTTATGAATTAAAAATTTGTATAAATCATGAAGCATTGTGAGGCAAGAATGCATATAGAGGAGGAAAAACATACCTGGCCGTCAGGGGGTAAGAAACAGCAGTAACCATTTCATGTATATCAGTCCAATCCACAACGACTACATTTCATAAAATTATCAAACATAAACCCTAACCTGATTTGCGGTTTCCAATTTGAGCTTCAGATTTGCGGTTTCCAATTCGCGCTTCAGATTTCAACACACTTCCTCCACGATGATAAATCCCAAATTACCAATTTCTCTGCAACTCAAACCCTAACATATGATTTCTTAACCTCAGTAATATTCTCACATTTACCCTCTCACAGCCACGTATGACCCTCTCACAGCCACGTGTTACCCACACACAGCCACATAGCTAACTTCAGTCCACCCTGTCAACTGCTCCGTTAAAAACTCAACGCCGTTTCCAAAAAGGACTTGATTGCACACTTTTTACAAAAGTTGGGACCACATTGAACTTCTAAAAAAAGGTAGGACCACATTGAACTTTTGCCCCCTTTCGAGGGACCAAAAGAGGTATTAAACCTATAAAATAATACCTAACTATAAAATAAAAACTTTCTGCAAATAATACTATATCAAACAAGATAAAACAGTTTATCAGTAATTAAACAAACTAAACTAAAAACAGTTGTCACATATTTTAATGAAACGCACAACAACAACTTAAATGATTATGAAATTCCTATTTTAACCCTTCTTTAATTTTAAGTTTATCTAACAAAACTCTCACATAAACTTAAAATCATTTTTCCTTCATTGCAATCATCTTCCTTAATTCTTGAAATGACGTAGTAGGCAATGGCCTTGTGAATATATCAGCTATTTGCTTCTTGCTTTCTACGTGTTCAAGTTCCACGCTTCCTTCCTTCACCTTTTCTCGAACGAAATGAAAACGAACATCAATATGCTTGCTCCTCTCGTGATTGACTAGGTTCTTTGTTAATTCAATTGCTGATCTATTATCTACTCGGATCAACACCTTTTCTTCTTGCATTATCTCTAGATTCTTCAATAGGTTTCCAGCCATATTCCATGTCGGACACTCGAAGATGTTGCCACGTATTCAACCTCACACGTTGATAGTGCAACAATACGTTGTTTCTTTGAAAGCCAAGTAAATATTGTATCTCCCATTAAGAAGACATAGCCAGTTGTACTCTTTCGGTCATCCACATCTCCACACTAGTCTGTCTGAATACCCACTAAGCTGGTAATTATCCGACTTAGTATACCATAATCTGAAAGCATAGTTCCCTTTACATACCTTAGTATCTGCTTTAATGCTTTCCAATGAGAATATCTTGGCTCTTCCATAAAACGGCTTGCGACTCCCACACTTAACATTAGGTCTGGCCTTGTGTTTGTTAAGTACCTGAGACTCCCAATCAAGCTTCGGTATCTGTTTGCATCAACACTATCACCTTCTCCATTTTTTGATAACTTCATGCTAGGTTCCATTGGAGTAGAAACCGGATTACACTTGTTCATCTTTGGCTTTTTCAATATATCTTCAACATACCTCTTTTGAGACACAAAAATCCCTGTTGAGCTTTGATTCACCTCTAGACCCAAAAAATATTTCTTCATGCCTAGATCGGTTATTTCGAACTCCCTCTTTATCACTTCTTTAAATTCTTCAACCAGCTCGGCTTTACTTCCCATGAAAATCAAGTCATCTACATAGAGAGCAACAATCAACATACCTATTTTGTGCTTCTTTAGGTATAGAGCATGTTCATGCGGACATTGCTCATAACCATTCTTCTTGAAATATGTATCAATTCTTTCATTCCATGCTCGAGGAGCTTGCTTCAGAACATACAACGCCTTCTTTAGCTTTAACACCTTCTTTTCTTCACCCCTTCTCATGAAACCGAGAGGTTGCTCTACATATACCTCCTCTTCAAGAAAACCATTTAAAAATGCAGACTTCACGTCCATCTGCTGAATCTTCCATCCTTGTTGAGCAGCTAATGAGAATAGTAGCCAGATTGTTTCCATCCTTGTCACCGGAGAAAATACTTCATCATAGTCAATCCCCTTCTGTTGTTTGTAGCCCTTCATCACAAGTCAACCTTTGTAGCGCTCCACCTCTCCTTTTGCATAATTTTTTTTTTGTATACCCACTTTACACCAATTGGCCGAACACCCGTGGGTAAATCTATCAGCTCCCACATTTCATTTTTTGCAATTGAGTTGATCTCCTCATCCATAGCTTTCTTCTATCTTTCATCAAGCACGACTTCTTCAAATTTTATATCTTTTGCACATGTTAACAAACATGCTACATTTACCTCATTAGTGGAGTTATCCGAGCTCTTGCTAGTCATATCTTCCTTCAAACACCTTTTATGCAAGATCTTTAGTTGTAATTCATACAACCGGTTTTTCTTCGCTTTAACCTTGGCTGCTAGACGACCATGCTTATCCTTTAAATACAGTACTTGGTCTTTCATAAAAACTGAATTACCTTTTTCAATTATCTGACCCATGCTTAAAATATTGCTCTTTAACTCGGGAACATAGTAAACATCCCTAATCTCTCCAACTCGCCCATCCTTCTTCATATGCCGGATTGTTCCACGCCCTTTCACGACCACCTTGGAGTCATCTCCTAAAGACACAAATTCGGCCTCCACCTTGGTGAGTTTATCAAAAAAATTCTTGTTTCCACACATGTGATTACTTGCTTCAGTATCTAAATACTATATTGAGTTGGTAGAAATCTCCTCAGCCTTTGATTTCAAGCCTGGTCCAACATCCGAATTCTCCACCTTCGACTCTGAGATCTTTGATGTCAACAAAATTCCACATTCTTCTTCATCTCCTTCTTCTGTAAGAACGTTACTGTCACCTTTGTTCTTGGCTCGACAAAATTTAGCAATGTAATCGACATTACCACAGTTGTAGCACTTCACTGATCTACATTCATTTGCATAGTGGCCATGCTTGCCACACTTAAAACACTCCACTTCTGACTGATCTCCTCGGCCTTTCCCTTGTCCTCTGCCTCTAGGACCTCCCCTCTGAGTATTTCGAGTTTCGTTTGAGTCAAACTGTGCTTGTAGTGCTTGATCATCGGGTTCCCTCTTTTTCTTTTTCTTCTTCAATTCGTGGGCTTTCAATGACCCAACTAACTCCTCCATAGTGAGAGTTGATAGATCCTTTGTCTCTTCAATAGTGACCATGATACTTTCAAAATCATCCGTTAGATTTCTCAAGATCCTTTCCGCAACCCGGTTAGGAGGAATCTCATCTCCGTTCATTTCGAGTTGGTTGGCCATCTTTTGCACTCGAGCTATAAACTCAGCAATTCCTTCCTTTTCATCAATCTCCATATGTTCAAACTCTCTTCTAAGGGCTTGAACTCGGACTTGCTTCACGCGAGTATGTCCTTTGCATGTCACCTTCAAAATTTCCCATGCTTCTTTTGATGACTTTGCGTTAGCTATTTTCTCGAATCCAGATTCATCCACTGCATTATACAGAAAGTACAAAGTCGATGTCTTTCACTCGTGTCTTTTTCAAGGCAGCAATTTGGTTCACTGTCTGATGCTCATCATCCGCGGGTTCATTGTACCCGTCCTCCACTATGTCTTATACATCTTGGGATCCATGAAGAACCTTCATCTGCAAAGACAAATTATCGTAATTGATCTTTTTCGACAATTATGGCACACTCATTCCGTTGACTACCTTTGTCATCTCTCTCACAAAAAAAATTCAAGCACTTACTTTTTTCGTCACAGTGTTTGACTCTCCTCTTTTTTTATCGCTCTCGGTACTCAGAGCATAAAGCTCTGATACCACTTTGTTAAAAAAGAAAATCAAATTCTGCACTCGCACACTATAAATATACTGTAGTGAAATTCTGCAC